TCTTGATCATGTCCAATACTTGAGGGATAACTGTTCAACCAGAAAAAGTAAAAAGAGTGTATAGGGTTACCTTGTCCGACACTGTTAGTAACTACAGGGCTATTGATTTCTTTACAAAACCAAACAGCTTGACTGATGCTATAAGAAACCCATTTTCAATCTCCCTAGACTTTCTAAAAATGTGAAACATTAAAAATAATGTGTTTTATGAATTGATTCTGCATATTATAAATGTGAGATATTTGGTTGTTTAAATTTGAAAAAGGTTTATTTTTAAAAGATCCCAAAATTAATATAAAATCAAATTGAAGTACTGTCAATACCTGGTGATTTTCCTTTTTCTCATTGAGAAAATAGCTGTTTTAAGAGTATTTTAAGGTCATCATCAATAATCAAAATGTGTATTCATAAATCAAGTCTTCACCAGTTCATTCAAAATATGTGTATTGTTTTGGTACATTTGGTATTTGGTAAATACGGACCAAGTCCAACCCTGTTTCCGGTATTGAATTCTACATAAAGAGGACAAGACAAGAGTTGTGGCCTCCTTGGCCACAAGAGTACCTTTAAATGAACGCTACTGTCGGAGTAAACAAATACTTTGTTCTGTAGTGGTCTTCTTACTACTCACTCGTCTAGACTAAAAAAGTATAGATTTCCGTTGAACAAAAGGGCAGTGGGAGTCAGGATTTTTACTGCATGTAGTATGAGATTAATTAGAAAGTTGAACTCTCTTAATGACAATTTTCACGGGGCTGGTGAGTCCACTACGGACCTATCTCTGGGAATAGTGAGAGGAAGGATAGCAGGGGGCATGGCTATCCTGTGGCACAAAAAGCTGGACGCTGTCATTAATGTCATCAGGCTTGAAGTTGACTGGTGTATTGCTGAACAAATCAAAATGAATAACAAGGAGTTTAGCATTCTCAATGTATATACACCATATTAGTCACAGCATAATGAAGATGAATACCTGAACAGACTTGCTTTTATACATTCTTTTATTGTTGATAATCATTCCACCGGTGTTTATGTAGTGGGTGATATGAATGCTGACATATCAGACAAAAGGTCCTTGTTTGCTAAGCATATGCTACAGTTTTGTGATGATAACAATCTTATATTATCAAGCCAAATACTTCTGCCTACAGATAGCTATTCATATATAAGCGAGGCCTGGCATACAACTTCATGGCTTGACCATTGCATAAACACTGCTAATGCCCATGACAATCAATTGAGATTGTGTATACTATGAGGCATCAATGTCAGATCACATTCCTTTTATAATGTCACTAGATTATGATAGTCTCCCTGAGATGTCTCAGGAGGTTAAAAATGCCTGTACCACTAAAGTGGACTGGTCCAAGCTCACAAATGAGGATAGGCTATTGTACTATGGGAGAACTGATGTCCTATTGAGTGATGTATATCTACCCAAAGTGGCAACTCTGTGTGTTGATGTGGGTTGTAATGAAAGATCTCACCGTGAAGACCTCTGTAACATGTATGATTGTATTGTGGGAGCTGTATGGGAGGCCAGTAGACCGTGCTATACCTACTCTAGGAAGAGACACAACGTCAAGCCAGGGTGGAATAAACATGTGGCTGATCAATACGCTGAAGCCAAAAATGCTTTTGGGGCCTGGGTCCAGGCAGGAAGGCCCAGAGAGGGGCCTGTCCTGGATCTCAAAAAGCGTACAAATGCTAGATATAAATATGCAGTTCGTTATGTCAACAAACATACAGAAACATTGAGAGCGGATTCTATGGCTGAAAAGCTCCTTCATAATGATGTGACTGGCTTCTGGAAGGAGGTGAGAGCTCTGAACAGGGCCAGTACATCATTACCATGTACCATAGAGGGAGTATCTGGAGCCGATAACATAGCTAAGTTGTGGAGGCAACATTACTCTACTATACTTAATTGTGTTAAAAGTGACCCCTACAAAGTTGGTAATGTTGTGAAAAGTGACACAGTGGGAATCACAGCTAAAGAGGTTTATCGAGCAATTGCACAGCTAGCTGATAACAAAGCATGCGGCTCTGACCGTATCACTGCCGAGCACCTTAAACTGGCAAGCCCGAAGGTTGCAGTTCTTCTTGCCATTTGTTTTACCGGCCTCATGACTCATGGTGTGTTGCCAGACTCCATGTTGACTGTTACTTTGGTCCCTGTCATTAAGGACAAAGCGGGCAAGGTCGGGAGCTTGGATAATTATAGACCAATTGCTCTAGCCAGTGTGTTATCCAAAGTCCTGGAAATAATTTTGTTAGATAGACTATGTTCTTATTTATGTACCTCAGATAACCAGTTTGGCTTCAAGGCTAAGCATGGTACTGAGCTATGCATCTATGCTTTGAAGGAAATGGTAGAAACATATAGAAGATTCCACTGTTCTGATTGGTTTTATTGATGCCTCTAAGGCTTTTGACCGAGTTAACCATCATAAACTGTTTTTAAAATTCAGACAAAGGGGTGTGCCTAACAGTATAATTAGGATCCTGGCTTATTGGTATGCCAACCAGAGCATGCGGATCAAATGGGGGAATGCAGTCTCGGCGCCATTTGGTGTTGGTAATGGAGTCCGCCAGGGGGGGCTCCTCTCACCATGCCTTTTTAATATCTATATGAATGATCTATCAGATGATTTAAGTGTCTGTAAAACAGGGTGTGTGATTGGTAATGTGATTGTAAACCATCTTATGTATGCTGATGATTTGGCTATTGTTTCTCCTAGCAGTGCTGGGTTTCAACAGTTGCTAAATGTGTGTTCTGATTATGGAGTCAATGCTAAGAAGAGCGCTGTAATGATCTGCAGAGCAAAAGGGGATAAGAACCTTTGTTTTCCAACATTCTATCTGTCAGGGCAGGTGCTGTCTGTTTGCTGTAACACTAAGTATCTGGGACACATCATCACAGATGAAATGGCTGATGATGATGACATGTATAGACAGTGGCGTGTCTTATACTGTATATACAAGCCAACATGTTGGCTAGAAAATTCTCTTGGTGTTCAGATAAGGTTAAGGTGAACCTCTTTAGAGCTTATTGCACTCCTCTCTATACTGCCCCCTTGTGGGTCAAGTATAAGAAGGCGAGCCTCCGGAAGCTCCAGGTTGCATATAATGACTGTTTGCGTATACTGCTTAGAAAACCAAGGTGGTGCAGTGCAAGTGAAATGTTCTGTAACGCACGAGTCAACACGTTCCATGCTCTTTTGAGAAATCTAATGTACAAATTCATCTGTCGATTGAATGTTTCTCATAACTCTGTCATTATGCTGCTGTCAAATCCGTGTTTCAGTGCTGTACGATACCAGTCACCTCTGTGGAAACATTGGTATAACTGCCTTTTTTAATTTATATTTGAGTGTTGTATGTCTTTTAATAATGGACCAAGAGTCTCTTTAAATAAAGCTGATGATGATGAAAACGTGCAGACTTGATTACATATTTGTGATGCTGCATTTCCTACAATGTGTTTATTTTAAATGCTGAACTACAATTTGTTTTAATGGAGTACAATTGCTAAATGCTATGTTAGAAATACTAACCCTTCAAATACTGTATCACAACTTGAACATAAAAATAAGGACATGAGAATGTTAATTATATTTGTAATAGTACCTGTTTGTTATAAAAGTTAGTAAAAATTATTACAGAAAGTATATTATGCATTAAAAATAAACAGAACATATTTACAGAACATTAAATCCGGTGTAGGTACCATATGTGCACGGCCTACCCGGCTTGTACCATCCATGCTTGTACGGCTTGTACCCACTTGTTCTTATTATACATCCATGGTGTCACTCCACGGAGTTCATCCGTCACGGAGGGGTAGTGTGTGGGGGTAGGGTGAAGGGCGTGGTTTGGGATTGGGCCTTAAAGTACCTGCCCGCGAGATATTGGACAAAAGAAACTCGGCTAGTAGTGTCAACTAAATCCATAGTATTACAACAAAAGTGCTTTAAACAAGGTAAATTACGAATTTATGTTCTCAATCGCCAAGTACGGGATTGAATATTAATTTAGTTTAGATTAGATTTATTGTCCCCAGGGGGAAATTCATTTGCACAGCTCTGAAAACAATATGAAATCAACTAAAAATAAGACAGACATCTACAGATAGCACCACACATGATGGTTAATTGTTGTTATTTAGGGCTGCAATGCCTGTATGGATCAGGTGTTTGCTAAAGCGAGCACTTTTACTATAATAATAATAATAATAATAATAACATGTTATTAGGCCTATGTATTATATAAACCGTATTGGTACAATGAGCGACATCTAGTGACGGATTTTGCAACATTGATTTGATTTTTCTCATGGCAGTTAGACTAGAGACATTTATTTAAATTTTTAATCTGTGTGTCCATTTTATCCAATATTTCATTTGGTTTATATATTAGTCACTTTCTTATGAAATGCCAGGTTTTAGGCCTTGGTTTGAACATTCAATCCTGAAAAAATGTTTTCTTTAATCCTGACATGACTAGAGTAGATAGTAAGTAAGCAAGTAAATCTGTATAGGAACATGAGTTAAGGGATAGGAGAAAAGGTTATGGTATAATTACAGAGCCTGTCAATTTCTAAATTGAGGAAATCAATGTTAGTCTGTAACAGTGCAGCCATCTAATAATATTTACTATCTATTGTTAAAGATCAGAGGAAAATAACAGAATGAGAGGGGTAAATCCGGAATAAAAATAAAGAAGCAAAGAGATTGTCGAGCAGTGAGAAGGAAAAAAGCTTGGTGTGTCAAATAATTATATTGCCAGTATTTGTCGTTGTTGTGAAAAAGAAATCGCCCCTTGGATTTTTTAACAGCCCCCTCAGTCATTTCATCCTGGAGCCGGGCCTGATTAAAGCTAATATTTATTTATACAACTGTGACTACAATCTTTAGAAATCCAATTAATTATCCCTTCGACACTCTATACTCTTGATTTATCAGTCATTTTCATTTCACACCACTAAAAACTAAACAGTGTTTTTGTTTCAAATCTTTTAATACATGTTTTCAGGCTGATTCTCGAGCTTGAAACTGTTTTGTTTACTGCTGAGGGGCGCCCATGATCACTGGTCCAACAGAAACCACGACCTTTGACTGAGACTTGCTCTTGTCCGCAGCCGGAACGTCTCTCCCTACACACAGACATAAAAACAATGTCAGAATACAATACATATTTCACATGAGTTCTGCAGGTTATACATTCATCTCTTACTTTTTCTGAAGCATGATGGTTCACAGGAGTGACCCGCTCCACTAGTGCACACGGCTGTGCTGCAGTGAATGAACACCTGAACAAGAAAAATAGTGTTGGCAGAGCAATACAAAAATAAATAGTTGCAGCATTAAACACTAGATTTAACAATTACCTGTTCACTCAGGGGTTCCATTGAATTAGGGTTGACAAAGGTAAACATTTTGAGAATGAAACGCCTGAAGTGACTTGGACACTCTAGACCAGATGACGGCCCGACCGGAACCAGTTCGGACAGGTAGCGATCATCCCTGTATGGACACCTGGAGGAAAGAAAAATGATATCAAGAAGCAACAGTGAAATTAAATACAATAAAGACACCAGTCATTTGAGCCTGGTGATATAAGCTATCAACATTTTGTTGACCAAAAAGTAATTGCAGGATGGAAAATCCAAATATATTTTTGAAGTTGTTGAGAAACATATAGTGTGTTGTTGACCAGAGAGCACTGACACATTTATTTTTCAACTCTAAAATGTCCAATATTAAGAAATGTCTTTCAATGTTGCCTTCAAAATTCTATTAGTATCGATCGGACTATGGTATTCATAAGATTATATTCAGTTTTCTCAATGAGTAAACAGACGAACAGCATGGTAAACAAGGTGTAAATTGGTGTTTTAGTTACCCGTCTATCAGAATGTCCCACTGAGGCAGACTGTGAGGGTTAGGGCTTGTAGTTGTCCAACAGCGACCAAGAGTCAGGACGAGGTTGGGATCCGTTTTTTCCAGGAGTTGAACCTCCACATACACAGGGTCCCTCAGTACTTTGGTCACAGGATAGTCTGTGTTCGTGTAAAATGATGTATAGGCCACATCCACTGTGAGAGCAGAGACAGGTTAGTATGACAGCCAGTAACATAAAATGATCTACAAACAGGCTGCACACACTTACCTTCATTACAACCCTTTGTATTGCATTCGCCATTAGCCAACCTCAGGTGTACACTGATGGGTCCCTGGGCAGCGACTGGTAGGGGAGGGTTTACAATATCTAATACTTCTATAACCAAAGTCTCAACAGAAGTACCGATGTACCTGCACTGGAAAAGCAATCTAAAAGAGAAAACTGGCATTACTTTGCTTGGTCAGATCTTTTATTTTGACACTAAAAACGTATTGAAATAAGTACCACCTACTCATAGTGGCTGTCCCTGGTAATGGCTCCACGATCCCCAACTCCCACTTCAAATGAGGAAGACATCCTGTTCTCATAGATTATAACACCAGTCTCTTCCTATTAAAAGTAAATAGGATTACAGTGTTTGAAAACGATCTGTATTAGCTGAAAAGTAGAGAAAATCAGGCTTACCATAACAACAGAGCCACAGGTAGAAACAGGAAAGTTGTAGATGGCAAAGTCTGAATTAGAATCAACATGTGTACAGCCTTGCCCTTGTCCCAACAGTGAGATTGACTCGAGGTCAATGTTGGGCAGAGTGGCATCTTTGGCCACAACCACGATGAACTGGGCATCCTTGGTGCACTGGACAGTCACTGGTGGCACAAAAACAGGTATGGATCAAAGTTGTTTGTAAAAACAAAAAACAGAAAGATTAAACACTTTTTTTGTATCAACCATTTATGTCCAAGCATGACAGCCGTTTAGAATCCTCACCTGCCTTTCCATAGTAACACTGTCGTCGATCAAAGCAGCAGTTTATATCTTGACATCCAGCGGCAGAGATATCAGAACTTCCACATGGGATTCTCACGTTTTCTGCAACGACACAACTCTGTGCTACAGGCTGCTTTGCCACACTTGGTTTGTAAACTGTAGGTGTCTGCGGCACCTGCGTTTTCTGAACTTTTTGTAAAGCTGGTTGAACCTGCGGCATTGGATCAAACTGAAGGTTCCATGGTGGTGGTTGATTTTTAGGGATCCATTGTGGATGTTGATGTGGATGTGGAGGGCTCCATGGTCCATGTGGATGTGGAGAATGTCGATGATGAGAACCTCGAGAACGAGAACTTCGAGAATGAGAACCTCGAGAATGATGATGATGACGTCGATGATGGTGGGTCCGTGGAGAAAGGTCTTTTTCTTGAGCTTGGGATCTAACTGAGCATCCTAGCAATACTAGTGCCACTAAACAGGTGAAACTCCAGTGCTTCACCATGATTTCACAGCAATTTGACCTGGATAGTCCCCAAGAGTACTAAGCCTTGCTGCCACATTTATATGTGACTAGGTTTGATGTTTGAAAACCACTCCTCTGAGGCAAAATAACCTCCAATCATAGCTTCCTTTCTTTTCAAAAGCCAATCAAAAGCTTTAGGGGTGTATCATGTAATGTTTATTGTTTATTATTCGGATGGATGATTTGATAATGCTCTTGGAAACGTAACAAGATCAGTTGTGTGGGTGTTTTAAGGAGATAAAACATGTGTCCTTTCAAGTCAGGCCAGTTGACAGTTTGACATTTAAGTATCTATTGACAAGTCCAACATTTGGGTCACAAAAACCTTTTTAAAGGTCGTTGTGGCTTCAAGCTTTATTTGTCATTAAATGTTTATTTTGCAAGGGCACAATGGAGAACATATTGATTTTCTTTGGATCTGTAGCAAAGTTTGCCATAATATGCACTTCAACCCAATCTAGGTATGTGGTTATGAGCATCTTTACATATATATTTTTGTTTGCTAAGCAGAGAGCTGTTAATCCTGATGTATGATATCTGAACGCCTCCCTGTTTGAGACTGATATATGGAATGATAATTGTGTCAGTGTGTAATATGAAAAATAGGTTTTAGGCATAATGTGTAACCAAATTATTATGCTTAAATGATTTATAGTGCACAACATGTTTTAGTTTGTTGCTCAATACATTTGCAATTATCCCAAAAAGTGCAAAAATAAACCCCCCTCACTGGACTCATTGTTAAGGAGTGCCACAGGTAGGTTAGAGACATTTTGAGAATTGGATAACCCCATCAACTAATGCGCAAGTTCAACCAGGAAGACCGTCTTTTCTCATTAATTTACTATTTCTATGTTACTACTCTCTCTCCTCCTCAATAAGTGATCAGGGGCGTCACTCCCCAGCTTAACCAATCACTTTGCTCTATTCTCACAAGCCTATCATAGCGCTCCGCTAAACCTTTTGAATCTGCTCTCCCCCCTCTGACAGCTGTCATTTCAGGTGACTCAACGCAACCCTCCTCCACCCCTTTTCACCTCCTGTCCCTCTGAATATAGGGTCAAGCTAAGCCACTCCTCTTCAGACCGACCCAACTATCCATTCACCACCACCAGTGTCTAGACCCCGGGGGGGGGGTTCATCGGATCGGTTCTCCCCTCCCAAATGATACTCTTGCACAACGGGGCCTAATCGCCAAAACTCCATTACATTCATTTGTGTATTCCTGGCAATAAATATGTATTCTTACATCAAAACCGTCTCTCCTGATTGAAATGGAGTTGGGGAGATGTGCTCCTTGTCTTTGAAAGTAACACTCGGATGCTGGCATGCTGCTGTAGGTAAATTGGTTAGAAAAGGTGAAAATACTTTTTATCCATTTGTTACTTATTTGCTCTTGTTTAAAAAATAAAATAAAAGGCAAGGACAGGGACAACACTTGTTTCTATTCATCTTGGTAAATAACGCCAGCTCTCTTTCTGAAAATATTGCACCGGCTAGTTGGCCAACATACTATTCAGCCACGAGGCCTTATAATCTTCTGAAAATAAACTGAAATATAACACCCTTTTCATTTTTTAAGTCATTGCACAAATCTCCATTAAAAAGTCACCTTATAAAGCCAGTTAAGTGTGATATTAACTTGCTGACTACTAATCAACCAACTTAGCCTGGCTGTGGCTAACAGCAAGTTTGCCTTGGCTATCTACCCGCAAGTTATTGAGTAAAGCCAAACAGACATAAGCTAATTATAGGTTACTGCAATCCTATTTGGTGAGCTAATAACAAATAGCAACACATACTTCCGAGCTCGCAAGCTTATAAAAACAAACATACACAGGAAACTTCAATAGCTTCAAACTACATGTGTCGGCATTGTGGGCCATTTTATGTATTAACCTGTTAAGCCCCAAGGACCCCCTCGGCGGGTCCTTTTTTTTTTGTTAGGACACTGTGTCTCAGGGGATCTTAAAGGAGACATGTCATGCTTTTCCGGTTATTACCCATCCCCTTGTGTGTTATGAAGGTTTTTATGCATGGAAGCGGTGTGCAGAGTCAAAACCCTCAAAGTACACCCTGTAGCAAGTAAAACTCTAAAACAGAAAATACCTCCCCAAAACGCCTCGTTGGTGAAACGTCATTGTCCATTTTTTACTTCCTGGGTGCTGTGTCGTAGAAGCACGCCCAGAACTATGACGCGATACGGTCATGCGGTACCCGGAACCAAATGGGCCAATCCGTGGAGCCGTTATGTTACGTCCGCGGAGCCGTTATGTTACGTCCGCGGAGCCGTTACGTTAAGCCCCCGCTGATTGGTCCAAATTGACCAATCCACGACTTCCTCACACATACACTCAGTGCAGGCAGCTCTGCTGATTTCTCCTCCCTGGCTGCAGGCTGATAACAGACAGTTGGGATCGCGGCGAAATTCTCTCTGCAGACCCATTCTCACAGCGTTTATCAACCTTTTTCTTACTCAATATCAAGCCACACTTATTGTTTTTACGCATCACTAGGCCACCAGGGTGGGTGGAGGGGGTCAGGAGGACGGGACTGAGCTGACCGCCCAGGGGCACGGCAGAGGACCAGGAAGGGATCTCGGGCGGACGGCCCGGGGGCAAGGCAGAAGCCAAGAAGGGGGACTCGGGCGGACGGCCCGGGGGCAAGACAGAGTCCAAGGTGGGGGTTATGGAGGGGCGAAGGCCACCGCGGGCGAACTCAGGGGGCCGAGCATGAGGGCGAGGACCGCGGCCGGGAAAGTCAGGGGGCCGAACATGAGGGCGAGGACCGCGGCCGGGACAGTCAGGAGGCCGGGCTTGAGGGCGAAGACCGCGGCACTCAGGGGGGCGGGCTCGAGGGCGAAGAATGCGGCTCACAGGGGGCCGGGCTCGAGGGCGAAGACCGCGGCTCTCAGGGGGCCGGGATCGAGGGTGAAGACTGCGGCTCTCAGAGGGCCGGGCTCGAGGGCGAAGACTGCGGCTCACAGGAGGCCGGGCTCGAGGGTGAAGACTGCGGCTCACAGGGGGCTGGGATCGAGGGCGAAGACTGCGGCTCTCAGGGGGCCGGGCTCGAGGGCGAAGACCAGACAGCTCCGGAGGCCGGGCAGAACCCGGTGTCGGCTGAACAGGAACCGGAGCCGGTGGGACAGACTTCGGCAGGATCCCCCACGGAAGAGGACCAGGAGTTGACAGCACCCCCGGCGAGACAGATGATGGCGGGGCCTCCAACGGAACAGGACAAGGGGTTGGCAGTACCCCCGGCAGGACAGGTGATGGCGGGGCCTCCAACTGGACTGGACATAGAGCTGGCAGGATCCCCAGCGGAACCTCCAAAGGCACGGGACATAGCGTTGGCAGGACCCCCGGTAGAAGAGTAGTCGGCGGGACCTCCAACGGAACAGGACAAGGGATTGGCAGGACCCCCGGCAGAAGAGTAGACGGCGGGATCCCCAACGGGACAGGACATAGGGTTGGCAGGACCCCCGGTAGAAGAGTAGTCGGCGGGACCTCCAACGGAACAGGACATAGGTCTGGCAGGACCCCCAGCGGAACCTCCAATGGCATGGGACATAGAGTTGGCAGGACCCCCGGCAGGAGAGTAGTCGGCGGGACCCCCAACGGGACAGGACATGGGATTGGCAGGACCCCCGGCAGGAGAGTAGTCGGCGGGACCTCCAACGGGACAGGACATGGAGCTGGCAGGACCCCCAGCGGAACCTCCAACGGCACAGGACATAGGGTTGGCAGGACCCCCGGCAGAAGAGTAGTCGACGGGGCCTCCAACGGCACAGGACTTAGGGTTGGCAGGACCCCCGGCAGAAGAGTAGTCGGCGGGGCCTCCAACGGCACAGGACTTAGGGTTGGCAGGACCCCCGGCAGAAGAGTAGTCGGCGGAGCCTCCAACGGAACAGGACATGGGGTTGGCAGGACCCCCGGCAGAAGAGTAGTCTGCGGGACCTCCAACGGCACAGGACATGGGGTTGGCAGGACCCCCGGCAGAAGAGTAGTCTGCGGGACCTCCAACGGCACAGGACATAGGGTTGGCAGGACCCCCAGCGGAACCTCCAACGGCACAGGACATAGGGTTGGCAGGACCCCCGGCAGAAGAGCAGTCTGCGGGACCTCCAACGGCACAGGACATGGGGTTGGCAGGACCCCCGGCAGAAGAGCAGTCTGCGGGACCTCCAACGGCTCAGGACATGGGGTTGGCAGGACCCCCGGCAGCAGAGTAGTCTGCGGGACCTCCAACGGCACAGGACATAGGGTTGACAGGACCCCCAGCGGAACCTCCAACGGCACTTGAGTAGGGACTTGAGTGGGATCTCTCTCGAGAGAGGGCTTGAGAGGGAACTCGAGAGGAAACTTGAGAGTTGACTTGAGAGGTGACTTGAAAGGGATCTCGAGAGGGAACTTGAACGGAGACTCGAGAGGTGACTTGAGAGGGGACTCGATAGGGAACTCGAGAGGGGACTCGAGAGAGGGCTTGAGAGGGAACTCGAGAGGAGACTTGAGAGGTGACTTGTGAGGGGACTCGAGAGGTGACTTGAGAGGGAACTCGAGAGGAGACTTGAGAAGTGACTTGAGAGGTGACCCGAGAGGGAACTCGAGAGGTGACTTGAGAGGGAACTCGAGAGGAGACTTGAGAGGGGACTCGAGAGGGGACTTGAGAAGTGTCTTGAGAGGGGACTTGAGAAGTGTCTTGAAAGGGGACTCGAGAGGGGACTCGAGAGGGGACTCGAGAAGAGACTCGAGAGGGGACCTGAGAGGGAACTCGAGAGGAGACTCGAGAGGAGACTCGAGAGGGAACCCGAGAGGAGACTCGAGAAGAGACTCGAAATGAGACCTGAGAGGGGACTTGAGAGGGAACTTGAGAGGGAACTCGAGAGGAGACTAGAGAGGAAACTTGAGAGGGGACTCGGGTAGGAACTTGAGAGGAGACTTGAGAGGGGATTTGAGAGGGAACTTGAGAGAGGACTCGAGAAGAGACTCGAGATGGGACCGGAGAGGGGACTTGAGAGGGAACT